TGTCTCTGTCTCTGTCTCTGTCTCTGTCTCTGTCTCTGTCTCTGTCTGTTTGTCTCCTACCTTTCCCTCTTTATCTCCCTCCCTACCTACCTACCTACCTACCTCCATACCCTGCCCTACCCTACCCTACCTTACCCTAACCTAACCTAACCTTACTACCTCTCTCCCTCACGGCCTATCTACCTACCTGCCTGCCTACCTACCTGCCTACCTACCTGCCTGTCTACCTACCTACCTACCTCACTACCTACCTCCCTCGCTATCTACCCTACCCTGCCCTGCCCTACCCTACTCTACCCTACCCCACCCCACCCTACCGTACCTACCCTCCCACCTACCTCCCTTCCCTTTGTCGAGAGTTTGCTTTGGCTTCGGATCTCACCAGCTTCTGGATGTAAGGCAATCATTTCAGCTGGCAAATAGTGACGGTGCATATTTCGGCCAAGTTTTGGACATGTGTTTGCATCCGAGCTTCAGTGCTTCCTATGGTTTCATTATCGGTTGCTGGTAGCATGATTTGAACAGTCAGGCAGCCACGATGGCACGGGAGCTCCAAAAAAGGCGCCAGCGCTGAAAATAGGAGAAATTGCATTGTACATCCTTTCCTTTCCTTTCTTTATTCCTTCTCTTAGAGCTTCTATGACCTTTCTTTGGACCTTTTCTCTTCTTTCATTGCTTTTCCATTACTTTCTGATATGGCCAGGCATCTTGCGCATCTATTGGCAGAGTTTGTGCAACCGTGGAGAGAGGCCGGCAGAGAGATGCACTGTGAATTGTGCATTGCCATTGTTGCAGGTATGCCGACGTAATTCCAGAAGTGGAAATGTGACCAGAAAGTCCCAAAGTGCCGCGTAATTAGATCGTTGCATCATAGCTTTCTCACAACTGCTGAGCCCAACATGGGCTTGGTCAACTCGCCAATGCATTGTGCTGAACTTGCGAATCTTGTGCTTTGCTTGCATTTTGGGTGCAGAAAGCCAACAAATTACAACTTGGCAACATCTTTGTGAGGCCCTTGAAGAGACTGCCAAAGCACATGGTGTAGAGCCTAACATTTTGCAAGGCCGCGAAAGCAACAGAGCTTGAAAGCTTGAAACTGACGGCAGCAGCCAGCAATCATTGCGGGAAGATTCTGCCGGCAACTCCACAAGAGTCTGAGAAAGGTTGTCTCGCTTGTATGTTCTAGTCATGGCTATAATATGCTCCATCCCAGTGCACAATTCTCCCTCTCTCTCTCTACCGACCTCCCTACAGAACAACTCCCTTCGGTCTTTCCTTGATTCACATTGCTGGTGCTTGACCCCTACCCTACCTTCCCTACCTTCCCTGCCTCCGTGCCTCCCTGCCCTCCCTACCTACCTCCCTACCTCCCTACCTGTCCACCTACCTGTCTGCCTACCTGTCCAAAGGACTGTCAACTTGCTTCCAAGCCATAACCCCAGTTGACATGGATGGGATGGTCATTTCCAAAATTATTCTTGTCTTTAACAAGTTTATTTTGCTGTGCTCTTGCTTTCCGCGTGCACTGTCCAAGGGAGGACTCTTGAGCGGGGGGTGCACCTAGTGCAGGTGTCGCTCATGATGCCATGCTTGGATCACGGTGTCGAAGCCTAGCTTTGAGTGTCTTCATTTTCAGAAAGAACGACTTAATGGGGGACATGTCCGGACAAATCCCTATTGCTTTCAGTCAAGACCCAAGGTGGAGATTGTCCGCTGAAGCCATTCTTGAGTGGATCAAGATCCAGGTGGCAACCAAGTATGCATTTGTACCCCGAATAAACAGTTCCGCATCTGAGGACTTCGTTGCAGATGGAAAAGTATGAATGCGTTGCAAAAGGGCGGGACAAAGGAAGCAGAAAAGGGAGAAACAACATCAAGTATCAAGCAAGTCGACCTTTATTTGTTTGTGGACATGGCAGAGACACAGCCAAAGCAAGTGCTTGTTGTTGCTTAGTTTATTGGTCTGCTTTTGAATGATCTCATTTGGCTTGCAGCACGTATTAATGAAGTTCAGTCAAGCAATCAGCTGCTTGGCACATCATGGGAGCATGGCGAAAGCTAGCTTTCCGTGCTCTCATGGCCTGGTTTCTCCTTGGGGGCACAGCCTTTGCTGTCAAGATGTCAGGGAGTGCTAATGGGCTCGCAAAGGTTGGCCTGGCATGCTGGGTCTTATGCGGTTGAAACATTTTCCGGCCAAAGCATGGTTTCAACTTGGTGGCAGCTGAAGCGTCGGCCGGGTCGCTACTCTACTTCAGGAGATGCAGCACAAAATGACCAAAGAAGAAGAAGAAGACCAGAAAATTCATGATGAGAAAGCCCGGTGCTCTGCAGAGAAGATGTTTCCTTCCCAATTGAACACGCAGTAGAGGCTTGCTGGTGCAACTCCAACATTTTCGAGAAGACAACCGCGGCCGTGTCCTTGTGCTAATATTGAGCCCAGCCTACCTATATATATATATACATTATCTCATTCTGCATGCACAAACACTTATGGACAGGTGGCTGATTTCCAAGCCTTGCACGTGACGATTTCTTGTGTCACAGTGACTTTGTTCTTCTGCAAAGCAATTCTTTCTTTCGACCTGCAGACCTACTTATACTTATACTGTAACATCGGCCAGCATTGCTAGTTGACTGTACTTTCAAGCCTTGGTGTGCCCATCAGCATTGGCTGCACCTCTGAGGTCAATACGAACAAGCGGAAGATTATTGCTCTGAATGATTCAATCCAAAGGCAGCGGGGATGTAATGAAACAAGTTTCAATTGTCCTTTGGGCCTCAAAGGTTTCCTGCTGCATACGCTGTCAATGCTCAGAAAATCCCAAGAGTTGAGTTGAGCATAGAAGATTAGAAGGCAATTCCCCCCCTGGTCCTAGAACCAAAGGTTGATACTTCGATTGGGCAAATGATAATCTTAGAGGCTTAGAGAGATTGCGCTTGGGCACCAGCCGAGCAGAAATTTGCACCTTGCATGTTTTTTGCAATTGCTGTAATAGAGATTTTAACTGTTGGGTTTTGGACAGCTTCGCTGCTTCTGCCTAGACATTCAATTTGCAAAACGCTTCATTCCCAGACCCTAGTGCGACCGCTTGCACCTCATAGGCTCACTGTGGACAGCGAGCGTTGGAGGGCCGAGAAAGAACAGCTCTCCAAGGAGTGCCCTCTCTCTTGTCAAGTGTGTCACACTGTGTGTTTCTACAAAAGCTTGTGCAGCGCTGTTAAGCGTGATAGCCCCAGTGATGTCATCACAAGTTTTTATGCGATTTGTGCTGCCACAAGGAGATTCTGAATGCAAAGGTGAGAACTACGAGTCGCGCGTCCGGGAGTGTCCACAGTCCACAGCGCTACAAATGTTTGTTTCAGTCAACGTGGGCAGTATTTTAAATAGGCACAGTTTACAGCAGCTTTGTAAAGAAGAGTCCAAACGGAGATCTAATCAGGCACCTTGAGCTGCGAAATTTAATGTTGTGCATCATACTTTCACAAGACGACAGTTGCGAACCTGTGGAAACACAACTTTAGAACAGGTCGCTCAAGCCCAACGCAGCTTTTCTACGACTGCAGCAAGGTATTAAATGCCAAGCTTTCGTCCTCCTTGGGACTCTTCAGGGTCTGAAGCTATTTTTCCCCAAACAGTTTACTGTTGGGGTTCTCTCTTAGAAAAAAAGAGCTGGCCACACTGACTGGCCGCGCCTATGAACTCTGTGTCCGGGCTCTGTGTCCGGGCTTTGTGTCCGGGTCTCGTCCTCCTCTTGTCTTTCTCTTGTCCTGCTGCTGTCCTCTGGCCGCACTGACGAACCTTTTGTCTTTGAACGCATGTGGGGTGTCATGACCTCGTCATGGCCTGGGTAGGCGAGCCCATGCTCCATCTCGCGGAGCCTGTACAAAATGCTGACTACTGTGGCCAGCGAGCACCTAGCATTGAGAAAGACTCAGAGAGGCCGGGCGTGTCATCCGGCGCCAGCTCTGAGTGAACACTCTCAGAGGCCCCACTGCACGGCGCTGCAGCTCTTCTCCTAAAGCAGCGGCACTGTCTACCACAGCTCCACAAAGCTCAGGATCCTCAGCCATCAGCAGTGCCTCCGCCATAGAGGTATTGTCTGCCTGAGCCCAGCGGATGCGTTCGCTAGGTGGAAGGGAGACGTCAAAGATGGAGCTCATTGGTTGCAATTCCTCAGCATGGTATGCCTGAGCCAGGGCCAGAGCCGCGATCATCTGGCACCGGTGTGGCTGCGATCGAGCTGGACCATGCGCCAAGTTCACAGTGCCCAGACACCAGAGGCACGGCAGCCGTTCCTCGTCCCAGTGCGGCCAAGTGGCATCTAGGTGGGACACTCCAAGCATCCACAGGGCCGGGTGGTGGACATGAACATGGTCTTCAAAAAGTGGCATGCTCATCAGCTGGACCCCGCAGACCGGGTATGTAGTCGTCAGCAGCCGAGTCAAGTGGGAGTCACTTGCTTGAAAGACGGGAAAGTTTGCCTGGGCATAGCAACGTGCAGCATGGGTGATGAGTTCATCCTTCAAGAGGGCTGATGGGCTCGGAGTTGGGGGACATTTCAATTGCAGGTCAGCCTTGACCAGCCAGACCACCAACACATCTTGCTCGGGTTCTCGGTGCAATGCATGATGTTCCCGGGCCTCCCAGTTGTCCTGAAACGAGACCCAGCGATTGTGTCCCTGAGTGTGTGTGTGTGTGTAACCCTTGGAATCATAGGGATCCTTTCGGATTGTTTT